CAATGTAGTAAAGGTTTCCTTAAGTTTTTGAATATGTAACTTCATTTACTTGCGATTCATAATTTTTTTCCTAAACTGCTATAAAATCAGCAAAAATGCCTTGGCAATTTTAGCATAGTTCCTAGGATGTTGGTTGGCACTCAAAGGGTTAATAACCTTGCACGGTATGCCCATGTGAAAGTAAATTCTAGAGCGAATCTTAATTTTGTGGGACTGCTATAAATGAAAAACATTGACTATGATCAAGAGCTGGTTCATCTGTTATCCTTTATTCCTAGGAGGGTCTTTCAGTTAGTGGAAAATACGAGAAATGATCTTATTAAACCTTGGAGGTTAGGAAAGCTATATCCATTTAGCCTTTTAAATGGAGAAATTCAACTGCATACTACTACCCTTTGAGCAAGGGTGGGGAATCTTTTTTCTGCCAAGGGCCATTTGTATATTTATAACATCATTCATGGGCCTTACAAAATTAACAACTTAAAAATTAGCCTGCTATATTTGGTCAGACATTCAATTAACTCACCCCTAATGCCATGGCAGGGCCAGACCAAGTGATTTCATGAGCCTTATATGGTCTGAGGGCAGGTTCTCCACCCCTTGTCTAGAGGTGTCCTTCACTTCTTTTTCTTCCTCCTCCTCCCACCATTCTAGTCAATCACCAAGTGTGCTTCTTCCATCCTAATACCATTTGTATTTGACCCTTTTCCATTCCCACTTCACCATCTTATCTAGGCTAGTTATTCCCACTAGGATCCATCTGCACTCAGTCATTTCTCTGCTGTAGTTGACCTTAATACTGGTAATGGCTAATGTTTATTGAATACCTGCTGTGTACCAGGCATGGTGCTAACTGCTTTTCGTGTACTGATCATTTCAACCTTCACAACTCTCTGAGATGATGGTAGTATTTCCATTTCACAGCTAAAGAAACTGAGGCATGGATTACATAGCTAAGAGGTGGTCTCAATTCTTAAAAAGTTAATGACTTAATTAGGAGAAATAGGAAACCATTTCTTTAAACTAGAAATGCTATACTAGTCCAGAGCAGAAAGGAAAGAGTGGTCAGAGAAAATGGAAATTTTTACAGAAGAGAGAGAGGGATGTAGGATATAGGAGAATAAATAGAGGTTGTATACTAGTATAAGAACATGTCAGATGGGAAAAATAATGAGTACCCCAAGGCTGAGTTTGCAAAGTTGGCAAATGCTGTCAGCCAAACTAGTATTGAACTATTGTATCAGATTCATTTGGAAAGCTTTGAAAATATCGTTGGTTCCTTACCCCACCCCTGAGTTGCTTCTGAATTAGATGGTGTGAATTAGAATCTGTGGTGTTGATATTGTTGCAGGCTATCCTGATGCACAGGCAGACTAGGAACCACTGGCTAAAGAGAAGGATGCTTTTTCTGAGAAATGATAAGAGTTCATATTGATGAATAGGTCAAATCTTAGGAAGGGCCAGGCTGAAAGAGTTCAGAGTGGAAGCAACAGAGTGAGTCACTGGGTTGGTCAGCAGAGATGTGTTAAGAGCAGAGTTTTCTGGCAGCAAAATGCAGGAAGGAAAGGCTGCAATAGGAACCAAGCTAAGAGACAGTTACAGGGAACCAAGTGTCATATTATCACTATGAGAGTTTTAAAAAGGAGTGGGCCTTTTGTCAGGGCTGCTTGGTCCAGAAATATGAATTAGTAAATTTGTGATCTGAGGTTCAACTCTGAAGCTTCAGAATCTTTTACTTACAAAGAATATAAAAAAGTAAAGGATTCGTTTTTCAAATTGAAGAAAATAAGAATTGGCATTGGAGTTACACTTTTGGTTTATACAATTAATTAATATTTTATTTCTGAGAGGGACACTATAAGGTGATAATGTACAGCTATCTTTCTTTGGCTAACTTTAAATCTAGTTTTACTTAACAGGTATTTATAAGCTTTCTTATAAAAAATTATTTTTAAATCTGTATTTTCCAACTTTACTACCTACAGTTCTAGTAATTTTCAGAGGTCTGCCTCACTATGTGATATTGTCAGAGATTATGACATAGCAAAGAGGTCAAGAGCACAGGTTCTGGAATGAGAATACTTGTATTGAAGTCCCAGCTTTGCCACATACCACCTATATGACATTGGGATTTAATCCCTTTTCCCCCAGTGTCCTCATCTATAAAATGAAGATATGATAGTACCTACCATAAAATAAAATTGTTAAATGGATTAAGAGAGATAATACTTGGTTCAAAGTAACCACTGAAATTTTTGCTGATTAGTAATGAAATAATAAATAGTATTTGCTTTTTAAAAATCACTGTTGGATCAGCATATAGCACAGAATTAGAGGAGGCAAGAGTAGGTATGGGGAGATCTGCTGAGAGGCCATTGCAATAGACCAGACAAGAAGTGAAGGTAGCTAGAGCAAGTGTGGGAACAGAGCTAGAATTGGACAGATTTGAGTGATATTAAGGTAGTAAAATTGACAGAAAACTCATGATGTGTTAAATAGAAGATCATTGAGAGAGAACAAAAGATATTCTCATAGGTTTCTGGCCAAGGCAGCTGAATGAATGGAGACCCAGTTTGGTGGGACATAGAAGGTGGGACAGGGGAAATGCTTGTTATTTTAGTTTAAGAAGCTGCTGAATGGTTCTGATGTATACCACAGTTTAAGAACATTTGATGGCGGTGTCATAGGTGACCTTTTGAAAAGCTGTTCAAATGACGATGGAGGTGGATACCAACCAGAGCCGTGATGGGAGGTAGTGAACTGTAGACAGTTCTCAAGATATTAGCTCAGGGAAAGGGGTTAAGATAGGGGAAATGAGGATTTTTTTTTAAAGATGGGATAAACTTGATCACATTTAAGTGATTCTGGGTTGGCTGCAATGGAGAAAGGGGTGTTGAATACACAAGAGAGAAGATAGTGGATCCTCTGTAAGAGCAATGGGATCCAAAGCTCAAGTGGAGAAATTGGTTTTAGTTATAAAAGAGGCACATTTAGTATAATAGGAGGGAACCAAGGAAAAGATATGTATATAGAGAAAAAAACCTGCTGATTCATTGTGTGATGAGTAATGCAGTTTTGGTGACTGAATACTATGTTAGCTGTTTCTGGGGAAGTGATTGGGGTTGGAACAGACCGAGGCTACATTCCTATCCAGCCTGCTGTTGGGCTAGCTCAACCCTTTGCCTGACTGTCCCCTTTGGTCACTAATCTTGTGGCCTCAGCAATGCCACCCCTCATGGCCTTCACTTTCTTGGGAGTGAGTCCTGGGCCCACGGACCCCAGTGCAATGCATCTTGCATGGATTTCTTTTACTTTTTCCTGAGGCAAGGAGAACAAAACCAAACAGTTATAGTCTTTTTTTTAAAAAATATATTTTATTGATTTTTTTACAGAGAAGAAGGGAGAGGGATAGAGAGTTAGAAACATCGATGAGAGAAAAACATCCATCAGCTGCCTCCTGCACACTCCCCACTGGGTATGTGCCCCCAACCAAGGTACATGCACTTGCCCGGAATCGAACCTGGGATCCTTGAGTCCGCAGGCCGATGCTCTATCCACTGAGCCAAACCGGTTAGGGCAACAGTTATAGTCTTGACAGCCTATTTTAATAACCAACTAGAGATATTATGCTTAGAAATTTAATCTTCTGTAATTTTCATTTCTGATACTTGAATTTTCTAATATAGTACAGTAAGAATTTGTTTCATTTATTCGAAGTTTTTGAAGCTCATACCATGGGCCAGGCACTGTGGTAGGTACTTGTTATTTTGAATGAAATAAAATATGGCTGCCTCAAGGAGCAGAGAAAAATGATATATACATACGCACACCTGACATTTCTTTTTTTTTTTAATATGTGGAATATTTTTGTTGTTGTTTTATTTTTTTATTGATTTCAGAGAGGAAGGGAGAGGGAGAGAGAGACAAACATCAATGATGAGAGGAATCATTGGTCAGCTGCTTCCTGCACGCCCCCTACTGGGGATCAAGCACACAACCTGGGCATGTGCCCTTGATCGGAATCGAACCTGGGACCTTTTAGTCCACATGCCGACTCTCTGTCCACTGAGCCAAACTGGCTAGGGCTGACATTTCTTTTGATAAGTGCATAGACTTTAAAATATCTACATCTGAATCCAACTTCTTTATGCAAAAAAGGCCAAATTAATATCTGTTTGAGAATATCATTAAAGGGATCTTTAATTTATATATTATATAACTCAGATGTTCCTTTTTCCTTAAGCTTTGTTATTTTTTTTCTTGCTGCTTCTGTAATTAAAATGCAGAATTCCTCCTTCCCCAAAAGTAAGTGTCTTTATTGTATATCAGATAATTTTAACCTGGGTTCCATAGATCTCAATATATCTAGATTAATGGCTTTGTGGGACAATGAACTTTCCACAATTATATGCAAAATTGTTGAATTTGTATACATAGATATTTACAGTGAAGTGGGTCCCCTTAATTTTTATCAAATTCTCTAAGGATTCTATTCCAAGATATTAAGAACTACACTATTAAAATCTTCATTTAGCCCTGACCAGTTTGGCTCAGTGGCTAGACCGTCGGTCTGTGGACTGAAGAGTCCCAGGTTCGATTTCTGTCAAGGGCATGTACCTTGGTTGCGGGCACATCCCCAGTAGGGGGTGTGCAGGAGGCAGCTGATGGATGTTTCTCTCTCATGAATGTTTCTAATTCTCTATCCCACTCCCTTCCTCTCTGCAAAAAATCAATAAAATATATATATATTTTTAAATCTTCATTTAGTAGGTTTTGGCTTTTGACTATTTTATACACTTTACCATTTAGATTTTCTCACAGGAGGAAAGGGAAATTGAAAATGTAATACTTCATAATTCTACTCCTCTAAATTATGACTACAGTTTTTTATATTACTACAGTTTTTGAAGTTAACATTTAAACATAATTGTTTTTACATTTATCTAACAATATTATAATCATGCTCCAGTTTTTGTTGCAAATATTTTTTTTGCCTTTAGTACCAGGACCCTCTGGTGATAATGGCATCAGTATTACCATGATCTTAATGGCCTGGATGGTAATTGCATTGATCTTGTTTCTACTGAGACCTCCTAATCTTCGAGGATCCAATCTAACTGGGAAGCCAACCAGTCCTCATAATGTAAGTGCTGTTGATTAGAAACCCATTTAAAGAGGTGTGTGTGTGTGTGGGGGGGGTAATGGCATGAAAAGAGGGGGGAGTTTGTTTTGACTGAAAGATCTGAATTAGCAAAAGGAAGATTTAATTCATGGAGTAAGTTAAAGTTCTTCCTTTGTCATCCTAGTAAATCTTGCAACCTCAAATGGCTTCGTGTTCATAGCATTTACATACAGACATAAGCATAGTAGCCCAAAAATAATTTAAAATGAATTCCAATTTTCACTCACACGAGAAACATTAAAAATGATTCAGCTTATGATAATCTACAGCAATATTTCTCAGATCTCAGTCCTCTTCCCCAGTTCTATCCACCTCTCAGTTGATTCTTTGCCTGTCATGTTTCCAGCTCCCTGAATTCTCTTACTAGCTGCAATTGAAATGGTTTTACCCACACTCCATTTTCTCCCCTCTGTTCTAGCTATTAAATACAGTAAAGACACTGAGTCTATCTGGCTAAATCCTGTTTTCCCATCCTATTTCTCTCAAACTCATTTTTCTGATTCTGCATCACAATAATCAACTGAGCTGGCAAAAGCAGAGGTAGGAATCACCCATGTCGATAAATTTTGATAGTCATGATTAAAACCATTTTTAGAATTTTCTATATGAAAAACATCACTTCATCATGTTTTCTCACAGGAGGAAAGGGAAATTGAAAATGTAATACTTCATAATTCTACTTCTACTAGAATTCTACACAGTACAGAGTTCTCGGTACTGTCTTTACTAGAACCTCCATTAAAGGATCCCTTTTCATCATTTTCAGAACCAGCATTTATTTATTTATTTTTTCATTCAATTTGGATATCTCTTTTAAAATATTTCTGTGATGGATTCATTTGTTGAACATCAAATTATCCCACAAATTCCTTCAACCTTCACCATGTGGAATTCCTAAAATAATTGCTTCTTTTCCTTAATCCTGTGTTGTTAATATAAAAAAGTTCAGTTAACCTAATTTCTTATGCAAGAGAAAGCAAATGTGCAATGTTAATTGGTCAGTGCTTTAGTTTTTTTAGGATTAGAACATTTAGATATATAACATACTGACTTCAATTAAGAAAGAAGGCCTCATTAGCACTATCTAAAAAAGCCTTAAATTTATTTTTGTTTTTGTCTTGGAGAGGGGATTAGCCATTAAACAGCTGTCTTGATAAATTGCTTTCTCCTTAGCCCTTTTTCTTACTTTCTATATACATTTTTATTTTATATCAAAGATCTACCTCCTCATTGCTTGGAGCTAAAGAAATCCAATTTAATAAACTAATTTAGAAGCCATTAAAAATGACAAGATTACAGCCCTCTGAGCCTTAGGTCATTGTTAGTAGTAGTAGTCCCACTGCTCTAAGAAGCAAGAAAACATATAGAATAATTCCAAGTAGAAAAATTGACCACCCTCTCCTCGAGACTCATAGCATGTCAGAGTAAATAAATAGAATCTTCCTGAAGATTCCTGAAGTACTGATATTCCCTTTACAGTTCAGGTGCTTTCTATTGCAAGTTACAAAAATCAGCTCAACCTGGCTTAAATAAGTGCTTTATTGGTTTACACATCAGAAAATCCAGAGGTAGAGTCAGTGTTTAGAAAGTTTAACAGTGCCGTCAAAGACAATTCTTTCATCATACCATCAGCTTCATTCCAAGATGGGCTCCCTCTGTACTCATTAGATAGCTGCCAATAGCATCTGGAGCCATGTGTGTCCTCATTGACATTCTGTAGTGAGAAACAAGTCTCGAGTTCATCTTGTACTGTACTCAATCCATCACCTTAGCAAGAGAGAAGAGACTACCTTTATTAGTTTGAATATCACCTCTGGAGCTGTTAGGGAGAGCAGTTTCATCCAAAACATACCACTGTTAAGCAATTTTCCTTTCTTCCATAGCACAGGGAAGAATGAGACAAACATGGGTGAAACACTAGTAATCTAGTGTTCCCTTGTGCAAAACCGTATGAAAAAATCCTAGTAAGAATATGATTTGAGGTGGGAAGTTGGGGGACACTGCTGCTCAGTTCTTACTAAATGTGTTAGATTGGTTGCACTGGGATTTAAGAAGTCAATTCTATAATTTTTCTCCAATACAGGGACAAGATCCACCAGCCCCTCCTGTGGACTAACTTTGCGATATGGGAAGTGAAAATAGTTAACACCTTGCACGACCAAATGAACGAAGATGACCAGAGTACTCTTAACCCCATTAGAACTGTTCTTCCTTTTGCATCTGCAATATGGGATGGTATTGTTTTCATGAGCTTCTAGACATTTCATTTGCAAGCTTATTTTTGCCTCCTGTGTTATCACCATTCCTATTCACGGTGTATTTGAGTAAATGATTATATTTTTAAAAAATTACATGGGCTTTTTGGTTACCCTAAACTCAAACATTCCATTCATTCTATTTGTAACTGTGATCACAATTTTGGTGATGATTTCTGGCCTGATTGAAGGAAATTTAAGATCTCTGCATTTAAATATTTTAAATAGTTTTGATAGATTTTAAGGTTGCTTTTTTCATAGGCTATTTATAAAGTTATTTGGGGTTGTCTGAGGTTTTATGAAAGAAAATTAAAACCACACTATATTTCTACTTACCTTGGTAGTTTATTTGTGTGTGGGTAGCAGTTCTTGGGACTGTGGCAGCCTTTGGAATATTTTACAAGTTACAGCTGAAATCTGCATCATCCATTACAACTGGCTTATGTGACTAGAAAAGGAGGAGAGAATAAATTATATAACTGTTTACTAAGGTTTTCATTCCCATAAAAATGTCTAATATTAAGAAAACTTTAAATAAATGTGATTTAAATATGGTGGATGATTTTCAGCCCATTATATGACATATGAAGCCACTGTATATTAACTAGCCTTACAAGGTTCATGAAAGGAGGAAAATAGTTCATTCTTTTTGCCTTTGCCAGGTATAATCTATTCAGTAATAATTTAATCTGTAATTTATTTCTTAAATGAGTGCCTCTCAGAAAGCTTCCTTTTTGTTCAGACACTTCCCTGTTAAATGAAACTCTTAAAGCTAACTGTATGGGGAGCCTGTTTGCTTACTGACATTTGAATGCTATTTGCTTATTTACTCTATTTTCCTTTGAAGAAAAATAAATTTTGAGTATTTTGTGGTCCTTCTGACTTTTAAAAATATTTAATAAATTCTTGGTTTACTCCAAGGGAAAAGGAGAAAAATGAGGAACAATCAAGGATTTTTTTCTTACCCTGTATCTCATTCTTATTTTGGTAATGGAATGGATTGGGGTGGGGAAATATAGGCAAAATTTTGAACTGTATGAAAAGTAAAAGGTTGCATTGTTTTGGTTAGTTTGAAAGAAAATGAATACAAATGGCATTTTAAAAAGGCATCACCTATGTGGTTATGGAATTTTTTTCTAGCAAGTGATTACAGAGGATTTATGGGGGCTAGAAGAAATTTTGCCATCAATGTAAGGAGTTCCCCCCCTAGACTTGTCTAGCTTTTCACTGTATTGATTTGAGAAATTGTATGAATTGAATAAACTTCTCAAAATCATTGTACTGTTTAAGAGTCTCTGATATAGTTGTGTGACACTCCTAGGGTATTTCCCCCCCTTTATTATGATTATATTCTGGGCCATAAACATTGTAAGGGCTTCATTTCATTATATAATCCAATATTGACTGCTTGCATTCCTCCTGTGCATCTTGGCTTTGTGCTCAACTTCTTGAAGTAGTATAACCTATTCTTAATTACTTGTCTAATCAAGGGTATTGTAACACAGGTAAGTCAAATCCTGGATAAATAAATACCACAGACTTACGGTTTTTCCTCTTGCTGTGGCGTATTGGAAGCCTTCCCAGCTCTATAGCTACTATCGTATTTAAAGCAGAATAGGCAGGAATGGCGTAAGATGGAGCTAAATGCCTATAAGCATTCCTGTTTCTGCCCTTGCCCCCCTGAAGTTTGAAGGCTTACACCTACATCCTAAGTCTGTTCTCTAAACTGCTAGAAATCCTGGCAAGGATCCTGATGTATTCACTGAATCAACGGCTCACAAATAATTGAGAATTGGCTTTGGTAGAAGATGTGGCTGTGACATGGAAACAATGTCTAGTGTTAGTTAGAGACCTGGAAATCTGGATTCTTATTCCTAGTTCTTCATTTCTGTCACATCCACTTAATTGACAGAACATCTAGAATATTAACCTTTCCCTATATGGATCATCTAATTAGTAACAAAAGTTTTTAGTGGAGTATTTAGTCTTGGATTTTTTGCTTGTAAAATATCTGCAGTTCTAAAAAAACATAGTGTGCTACTACATATAAAGTATTCCTATTAACCTAAGTAGTAATTTATATTCTTTTTAATTCTTAAAGCTTCCACATGTGGCCTTTTTATTAAGCACACTCTTATTCATTACTTGGCTTGTAAACATTCACCTGAATTATGGCTACAAGAATTTTTAAATAATCTGGAAAAAAGAAAAATAAATCTTCACATTTTAATTACTGCAGGCTCTTAAAACATTCCACAAATGCCATTCAGAATTTATTTTTAGAGCCATTTAATGTCCTTTTATGCAAAATAATGTTTTGTTTGTTTTTTGCTTTCCATTTGGAAAAAAAGTTAATATTGGAACTATGTGTAGTAAAAGATTTTATCATGTAGATATCCAAGCACTGTTCCCTGGTCAGCAAGTCATATTTTAAACAACTTGTAGAGATTTTCCGAAGTAACTATGAAGTTCAGCTATTCCATAGTTACCTTTAGTGTCTTTGTGTGGTATGTAATATGATAGTGTTTATGGAATAACCAAATTCTTACATTTTCAAAGGAACATTGGAAATTTTTCACTCGGAATGAAAGTCTCACTCTAAATGAATATGTGCTAAACTTTGACCAGCTCAGCTTAAGACATAAAATAGCAACTTGAAGGAGAAATGGGAGTTTACAGTTAATGAGTTAAATTTTTGTTGTTGAATTAGTAGGTTTAGTTTTAACATTATAATATTTCTAAATGAAAAATCATGTATTTGTTACCATGTCTGATGATTACTTTGTTAAAAGGAAAGTGGCCATATGCTATGCTAAATGTTAATTGCTGTTTTTAAATGTTTAATCATGCCAAACAAATCATGTCTGTGCCATCCAGAGTTTATTGTAATCTCTTACTGAGTACTTGGATTGGGATAAAGGGCTTGTACTATGCACTTTTTATTAATGAATAAATAGAAAATGTTAGTAACACTCATTGTTTTCTGTTTGGCTTTTGTTGGAAGAGAACCAAGTATCTTCTGCTTAGTAAAATGTTAACATCCTTTATTAAACAGTTTCTTTGTAAGCCTTTTTACCCCTAACTAAAGACTTTCCTACCTTAGCCGGTTTGGTTCAGTGGATAGAGTGTCGGCCTGAGGACTAAAGGGTCTTGGACTCGATTCCCATGAAGGGCACCTGCCTGGTTGTGGGCTCGATCCCCAGTAGGGGGGCATTCAGGAGGCAGACAATCAATGATTCTCTCTCATTATTGATGTTTCTATTTCTCCCTCTCTGAAGTCAATAAAAATATATTTAAAAAAGACTTTCCTAAAAGAGAACTTTAGGTTATAAGAAATACATTAACATTATAATAGCAGTATTGGGCCTTACAATTAATCCAGCAAGTACAATTTTTGTGTTTACAACATACAGAACAGATGTAAATCTAACACCAGGGCATGCACCCCCAATAAAAGGGTTAAGATTTATCCTTGCAAATGTTCTCAGTCTTCATTTTTATCTAACAACCTTAAAGACTGCACTTTATTTTGTCTCCCATTGCACCTTTGTCAACATTCTCTTACTTTCCCATTTTTACTAGCAACAGCCTATTGAAAGTTGGCAGTCTCAAGCTTCAATCAAGCATGATTCTGTTAGCCAAAGCCAAATCAGAAAATACAAGTCTTAACAAAATCTTGGGCAGCTAGGTAGCATTGAAAATTATGGACTTGGGGTGGAGAACACACAATCTATAATAATAAAAGGGTAACATGCTAATTAGACCGAACATCATTCCAGAGGTCCTTCCTGATGAAGCTGGGGTTGGAGGGAAGCCAGCCAGGGCCCCTGATATAGTTGTGTGACACTCCTAGGGTATTTCCTCCCCCCCCCCCCCCCTTTATTATGAGGGCGGCAGAAGGAGGGAAGCAGCCTGGGTCCTGGGTGCTGGAGGGAAGCCGATGCCAGCAGCCAGGGGAAGGAAGGTCTACTCTTGCACAAATTTTCATGCATCAGGTGTCTAGTCTATAGATATATAAGCTTAAGCGACCAAACGACCAGTCGACCGGTCACTGTGACGCGCACTGACCACCAGGGGACAGACGTTCAATGCAGGAGCTGCCCCCTGGTGGTCAGTGCGCTCCCACAGCAGGAGGGCCGCTCAGCTGATTGACCCATCCTGGTGGCCCACCAGCCCGGTGGCAGCCACTCACTCCATCAGTAGTTCTGCAGGTCCAATATGCAGATAACGGTCTAGGCACCAACGACCAGCACTGCTGGCATGATCCCAACAGCACCACCGGCCTCCTGGAAGTCAGCCTTGGGCACCTTCCCCTCCCTAAATGCTCTGCAAGGAAGACACAATATAAAAGCAGCTGCCAGGTGGTTCCTGACAATGGGCACGAATGTCAGCAGGACAGATCCGGATCCCGGGATGGCAAGGGCGTCCCACTGCCCATCTGGAGGGCTGATCGCATCCCACCCCCACCCAGCCTATCCCAATCAGGACTGACTGGGCGCAGTGGGACTGGGATGAGCAGGAGTGGCAGGTGGTGTTGGACTGCCAGTTTCGGCACAATCCCTGCAGGCTACACTGAGGGACCCCACCCATGCACAAATTCGTGCACTGGGCCTCTAGTATAATATGCAGATGATGCATTATAGAATTGTACCCCTAAAACCGATATAATTTTATTAACCAACTAGAGGCCCGGTGCACAAAAATCATGCCCTCAGGGGGGAGTCCCTCAGCCCTGCCTGTACCCTCTTGCAGTCCAGGAGCCCTCGGGGGATGTTCGACTGACGGCTTAAGTGGGGAGCGGGCTAAGCCATCAGTTGGACATCCTTAGCGCTCCCTCCACCACTGCTGCGCTTGCCAGCTGTGAGCCCGGCTTCTGGCTGAGCGGCACTCCCCCTGTGGGAGTGCACTGACCATCAGGGGGCAGCTCCTGCATTGAGCGTCTGCCCCCTGGTGGTCAGTGCACATCATAGCGACTAGCCATTCTACCATTGGGCCGATTTGCATATTAGCTTTTTATCATATAGGATGTTACCTCAATAAATTTAAATTAAAAAAGAAAACTATAGTTTTTCTATTGAAGAATGGGTAGGGCCCACCCAGAAAGTGTGCCTCAGTAGTTGAGCATCAGCCTATGAACCAGGAGGTCATGGTTCAATTCCCAGTCAGGGCACATGCCCAGGTTGCAGGCTAGATCCCCAGTAGGGGCCGTGCAGGAGGCAGCCGATCAATGATTTTCTCTCATCATTGATGTTTCTATCTCTCCCTTTCTGAAAATTATAAAAATATATTTTTTTAAAAAAATGAGTAGGGCTGATAATTTTCTCCCTCTACAACATCCAAGCAATTTTTTTTCATTGTCACATTTTAAGAACTTAGTCACATAGATATAAACTGGCAGCAGTTAAGGTTGAAATCCTTTGCCCTCTCATATTAATAATTTTTTGTGCTAATATATGAAAGCATCAGATATTCAAAGAGTGTTTTTGTTGAAGAAAGATGGCTGACAATTTTTAAAATCACTCTAATTTTCACCCAGTTCTCAAACTTCTATTTTTATTGCAGCAATCTTATTGTGTGCTAAATAAGAATATTTAGTATTGTCAATAGTGTTTTAGCCTTGGGGAAAAAATGTTAAAGTAGCTTTGTGTGATTCTGGCATAATGTTAAGGTAAGCAATTCATTCGGATTTTAAGCTATTCTCACAACTAAAAAAATATGACAAAGGCTATTGCATTTAGTGATAACTTACAGTGATTCTCAAACACTCTGGTTATGGGACCCCAAAGAGCTTTTGTTTATATGGGTTATGTCCATCAATATTTACTGTGTTGTATCCCAAATTAAAACATTGAAAATATTAAATATTTTAAAATAACAATAAACCCAATACATGTTAATATAATAAAATGCTTTAAATAAAAAAATAACCATTTTCCAAAATGAGAACTTAGTGAGAAGAGTGGCACTGCTTTACATTTTGCAAATCTCTTTAATGGCTGGCTTAATAGAAAAACGCTGGTTTATCATTTTTACTTTCACATTTTAATGTTGCAGTATTTTCCCTTCTTATGAAACTGTATGTATGCTAGTTTTCAATTATTAAAAGA